CAAGAATCACAAAAGAGTCACACATCCTTTGCCAGAAGTCACCTACGTGGTATCATTCTACCAAATCAAGGGAATGCTTTCCTGTAATCTTTCCTTGGATCTTTGAAAACTCTTGGCGCTCTGGTGTAGTGCCTGAAGACTGGAAGAAGGCCAATGTGGTGCCTATCTTCAAGAAAGGGAGGAAAGTGGATCCAGCCAACTATAGGCCCATCAGCCTGACTTCTATCCCGGGGGAAGATCTTAGAAAAGTTTATTAAAGAGGCCATCCTTAATGGACTGGCCGACGCCAACATCTTAAGGGATAGCCAGCACGGGTTTGTTGCGGGTAGGTCTTGCTTGACCAATCTCATTTCCTTCTACGACCAGGTGACCTATCACCTGGACAAGGGAGAAGAGATTGATGTCATATATCTTGACTTCAAAAAAGCCTTCGATCTGGTGTCCCATGATCGCCTCTTGGAGAAACTGGCCAATTGTCGCCTTGGGTCCTCCACGATCCGCTGGCTGGAAAATTGGCTCCGGGGTCGGACCCAGAGGGTAGTAATCGATGGAAGTCACTCATCGTGGTGTCCTGTGACCAGTGGGGTCCCCCAAGGCTCTGTCCTTGGACCCATACTGTTCAACATCTTCATTAATGATGTGGACACTGGAGTCAGAAGCGGACTGGCCAAGTTCGCCGATGACACCAAACTTTGGGGCAAAGCATCCACACCAGAAGACAGGCAGGTTATCCAGGCTGACCTGGACAGGCTCAGCAAGTGGGCGGGCGAGAATCTGATGGTGTTCAACGCCGATAAATGCAAGGTTCTCCACCTTGGGAAGAAAAACCCTCAGCATCCTTATAGGCTCAGCAGTGCTATGTTGGCTAGCACTATGGAAGAAAGAGACTTGGGGGTCATCATTGACCACGAGATGAACATGAGCCTGCAATGCGATGCGGCGGCTAGTAAAGCGACCAAAACGCTGGCTTTCATCCATAGATGCTTCTCAAGCAAATCCCGGGACGTCATTCTCCCCCTGTACTCGGCCTTAGTGAGGCCGCAGCTGGAGTACTGTGTCCAGTTTTGGGCTCCACAATTCAAAAAGGATGTGGAGAAGCTTGAGAGAGTCCAGAGAAGAGCCACGCGCATGATCAGAGGTCAGGGAAGCAGACCCTACGATGACAGGCTGAGAGCCCTGGGGCTCTTTAGCCTGAAAAAGCGCAGGCTCAGGGGTGATCTGATGGCCACCTACAAGTTTATCAGGGGTGACCACCAGCATCGGGGGGAACGTTTGTTCACCAGAGCGCCCCAAGGGATGACGAGGTCGAATGGTCACAAACTACTTCAAGATTGTTTCAGGCTGGACATAAGGAAGAACTTCTTTACTGTCCGAGCCCCCAAGGTCTGGAACAGCCTGCCACCGGAGGTGGTTCAAGCGCCTTCATTGAACACCTTCAAGATGAAACTGGATGCTTATCTTGCTGAGATCCTATGACCCCAGCTGACTTCCTGCCCTTTGGGCGGGGGGCTGGACTCGATGATCTTCCGAGGTCCCTTCCAGCCCTGATGTCTATGAAATCTATGTAAGTGCACACACTTCATTCCCCATCTGCAGAACGTGAAGATACCAGTGCTAATTTTAATTTTACAACTGTACATCTCACACACACAGATATACATTCAATTTTAGTTAGCCTTGGCTTTCAAGAACCAGCTTAATGTCAGCTTCTACATGCATAGCGCTCAGAGAGATCGATCAGGAACTTACTCTATTGCTGGAAAGCTCTCTCCCATCCCTTCTGAAGAAACATAATTCAGCTTGAAGCAAGTTCAAGATCCCAGCACAGAAAGAAGAAAGAAAAGAGACTACCTGAGAACTCAGAGGCACATTGACAAAAAGATGGTCTGGAGAGATGTAGGTTGAACCTCAAACCCACAAGCAGCGACTAGGGCACATAAAGAAAGAGTAAGATGTGTATAGATCTTTGTTACTTTGAACTGTTTTCTTTGTGCCTGTCCTATTTCTATGGATTTAGTGCTTTGTTCAGAAGCTGTTTGTCGCTGGGTCACGGCTCCTGGAGAGGATTGCATGGAAAGAGCCAACCCCAAGGGCAGTTATGCAATTCAGAAATAGAACCCAATGGTCCTGTTAGAAGTATGATGAATTCATTTGGATAAAAGGGAAGGTATTCCCTTGAAAGGAGTGCTAATGGAGTGACAGAGTCCAAGTGTAGTTCACCCTTGAGCCATGACAATGTTTTTCATGAGGAACTTAGTCCTAATCAATGCTTTTTGGTCTGAATCCCATGACACAATTAAATTCCATAGGAAAGAGAAAATTCAGATTTCTGTACTCATTTTCCATATACCCATCACATTAAACTTTTTCACATTTGCCATCCTGACCACTCCAGAAAAGGAATTTCCAACAACAGAAAGTCTTTTTTCCACAGGCATTAGGTCAGGGAACCATACTCATTTTGAAGAATGTCTTACCTACCATCCTACTTGAGACTCCACTGACTTTCTTAGATCAGTAACACTTTCACTGCAGCACTCAAATACTTCTGTGGCTTCAAGTTTGCAGAGGAGCAGCTTGAGCACTTATTCTGGTGCACCAATCAGTCCAGTACCAGTTGTGATTGACAATGATGTTTAAAATGATTGAATTATGGACATATTCAGCAGTCTCAGCTCTCCACAGTGCTAACTCACTCATGTTCATGGCTCATGAACACCCTCCTCAAGCAGAATCCTACATATACATTTTGGGCCCGCTGCCACAGTAGTCTTTTCTCTCTAAAGTTGACTTATTTTTTTCAGTATTCCTACTGCTTGATGAATGATTTTGGTGTCCTTTTATTTATACCTGCAAACTGACTGAGTGAATGCAGCATTAGCTGATTTAGTGACCCGGCTATTCCAAACCCTGCAGAAAAACAAACAATTTTTGCTTTGCAAAAATCCAAAGCAGATGAAATACAAACAAAAGATAACGGCATTATGTGAACCATGTTCATGAACCAGTAACTGCTATCCTAAAATATTAGAAGCACCTTCACTGCAAGATAAGAGGGATATGGAAAATGTCCTTAGGTTGATTATGGAGGAACATCACTTTCAGGAATGAGAGAAATATCCAGGTGAATTCTTTAGTAAATTAAGCTGAACTGATGTACTTCTCAGATGGAAAAAGGAATGTCTACACAAAGCTCAGCAGCAATTTATACCAGCTTACGTTTAAATGGTGCAAATTTATGATACAGATAAGACCTTATTTGTCCTAATTTTATATATCCATGTTTCAGAATTAAATCATACCTTTTGATAGGACCTGCAGCTTTGGCTACAAATTAATATGTGCTTCTTACCAACCCATTCTACTCATCCCCTGTTCAAAATGCTTCTACAAGTCTTTCAGAGGCCAATTCATCAAAGTTTTTTCCAGGTTTACACCAGAAAGTCATTTTATTGCTGTTTGAATTCTACACAATTTAGCTGAAATCCGTCCCTCTGGAAATGAATCTGACTTGTAAAAATAAACGTAGAGCCCTCAACACAATACCGTCCATCCCCCTTCCTGCAAATAAATCACCATTCTTGTAGAAATTCAACATCCAGAGAAACACAGTTGTTTTCTAGCCGTAGTGCAAGATTTGCTGCACCTGGACAGGCAACAGTGGGGTCCTTTTGATCATCCATGTTTACAGGAAGAATGGGAAGCACTGCAAAAGATTAGTAAGCAAAGTCCTTAATCAAAACAGTGTTTCTTTCTGGGCAGGTGGCTCTGTGCAGGGAAGTCAGGGCCTTTTGCTGTTCTCTCAGGTCACAGACAGGATGAGAGAAATCAGTTGCAAAACTGAAGGCAGGAAACAATAGAACAGGAAAGAGATCCAGCAAATATGAGAACCCTGGGGATGAGAGGATGAAACTGTCTAAGGAGAGAGTGAAACTAAATTTAAGAGAGGCTCTTCATTATCTAATTAAACTGAATGAGGACTCAGCCTCCAGCAACAGGACCACATACCTTCCTGATAATTTAATGCAGTGTTTGAAACGTTGCTAGGTCTCCTGCTCACTCACTCTAGATCAGCCTACTATTTGTTCCACTACACTAGTTTTAAAGGAACCAGAGAAACATGATAAGTCATAAAGTTGGAACTTTACATATTCAAGTAAATTAAAATGGTAAGTGTAAGATATCAAATGCAGGTATCTGAAATATTTGCACTTGCTCTGCTATTTACAGCTTCATATTCACAGATACATGGAGAAACTGGGTAGATAGACCACCATGTTGTAACTAAGAGGAAAACTGAGTTGACAAACAAACCATAATCCAAACAAATCCATTTTCAGCTTGGCTCAAAATAGGAATGAATGGCTTTCTGTTAAAGGAAAGTCAGACCTTCTAACTGCAGGTTTGATTTAGGACTCTAAATCAGTGGTTTTCAACCTTTTTTGTACCCGGTCCTATTTGCAAACATCATTGGCCAGTCCTGACCCAATGCCCCTCACTCCCAACCTGCTGCCCGACACCCCCAGTGTGTGTGGAACAAGGGGAGGCTCCAAGCAACCCTTGCAACCAGGAAATCTGCCAGCCTGCAAGAGAAACACCAGGGTTTCCCTCCTTGAAAGGAGAATCCATTTTTAAAGTTTGTTCAGGCCCCTTTCACGTTAGCCTTGCGACCCACTTCTGCGTCGCAACTCACGGGTTGAGAAATGCCGTTTTAAAAGGCCTCCTATTATCCGGCTGGAAAGCATTTTCTAACCTGTCACCAAGTCCCTAAATTCAAAGTTAAAACCAAAGCTCAAGTCTGGCGTAGCATTCTCCGCGGCCTTTGCCCCTTGCACGGCCTATTGATTGCGAGGCCACAAAGAATCAGTAACTCCTGCCCAGGGAGATCTCCTACTGCAGGATGCAAAAACCAATTAAAAAAAAAAAAAAATCAAGCCTTTCAAGCACAATTCCCCCCTGCCCCCCTCACCCCCCCAACAGGTGACAAGCCAGAGACACACAAGTTTGGGGCCGGACGGGACGTCCCCACGTTGAACATCGCAGCCGGCAGCGCAGACATGAGCCATCCACGCGTTTCTTTTGCTTTCCTGAGACTGCCGAAGCGGCCACGGGGAGAAACAGCGTTTCCACCGCCCCAAGGCAGAAACCACCATCCTGTTAAGACTGGCAGGGGAGGGGGCTCGGGGGCAGCTGCCACCCCAAGTTTGGGGCCGGACGGGACGTCCCCACGTTGAACATCGCAGCCGGCAGCGCAGACATGAGCCATCCACGCGTTTCTTTTGCTTTCCTGAGACTGCCGAAGCGGCCACGGGGAGAAACAGCGTTTCCACCGCCCCAAGGCAGAAACCACCATCCTGTTAAGACTGGCAGGGGAGGGGGCTCGGGGGCAGCTGCCACCCCCGGGGGGCTCCGCGCTGCCCCCGGGCCGGCTGGAGGGGGTGTCGGTGCCGGCGCTCCCGGCGCGGCGACACCAGATGCAGGACGGCGGG